TCATACATATTTATGTGGCAATTATTGTAATACAATGAACGATGAATATTGCAAGGATTGCACAACGTGACCCTACGTAGCGGGACCGCCGTGCACCGAATATAGTAATACCCAAATAAATGAAAAACGACTGTTTAATGCTACTGTCAATAATATTAAGTGCGAGCAATGGCTGATGGGAGCTGCTAGGCGAAATGGAGTAACAATTGAAGCGAATAAACAAAGTCACCAATATAAAAAAAAATCTGAAAGTCAATAATTTTCCCATTTTCCTAATTCGTCCAAATACGGAAGTGTAAATGATACCGTTACCATCTAAAATGACTCTGTTACAGTTACTCTTGTACTGGATAATTACATGAGTAAGGCCAAGGTTAAACATTGTTTATGTATACAGCGATCAAACGCAGAATTATTTTTGTATACATAATGCAATATACAGTCCACACTTATGTAGTCCCGCGTCGAGTGCTACGAAGATTTATAACTGGACCAGGTGGTGACTGAACTATTCATGTATTCACGACTCTTCTATTTCGATGTTATCCTGGTCATAACCAGAATAAACGACTTCATACTCGAAATACTGTTGAAATGAAACACCCGTCAACCGACTAAACATTTAATTGCATTAACGCTGCCTTAAGATTTATAGAATCAAATAAGCCAGTCCAATATACCTCCCGTGAACTGCGCAATAATATTAACTACATTAAATATTATTTAATAATAACTGTTGTCAGGTTTACATTCTCTATAAAATCCTGAATTTTGTAATAACTGTAAACGCGAAGTATACGATATAGGCTTTGGTCCTTTCACCCTAGTAAAATAGTAATAGTTGTCGTAATTCCTAATTTATATGCAGTCCATTAGGTTTATCGAATTATAAGATTTTATAGCTAGGAATTAAGATTGTGAACAGCGAATTCTATTTGCCAAACACTTAACGAATGTTGATAATCGCTGATATAATTTAGTTAGGCTTTTGTTGTCGCGTTGCAGAACATTTTGAGTGAGCACGTTGGAGCAATTTGAACGCGTACAAATAAATTGTTTGGAACATTTTGTACCGTAGTAGGTACAATCTTGTATGCTAAGGTTATTTTGAAAATTGTGCATGTTGTGTTATCGAGTTCGATCTGCAGTTAATATTTTTATCGCATAAAATTGGACAAGTGATCGCACCAAAGCGGTCTAATGATTGTTGTAAATTTCACCGATCTTGGTAAATTGGGGGCATCGATAATAAATTTTCGCATTGGTAACATCGACACGGCGCGAGATCGGACAGGTTCTGCGTGCCAAGTCGTTAGGTTCAAAAGATTTGCATAACAATTTGTAAGTATTTGTGTAATTGGTATGAGAATAGAGCGTTAATAAAACTTTTTTAGAAACATATTTATGATTTATTTGATGTTTGAATATTTAATATTGATTGAATAGTTTTGTAATAATTAATTTATTGATTATTGATATAGCTATAATCCCAGAATCATTCGTTTAAATGGTAATTTTATTATTTTGAACAGATAAGGAACCGCCTACAGCAGGTGCCGACTGCGTAGGAGGTTTCTATTTCGAGAGCTAAAATGAAGCAACAGAATGAGTCGCAAGTCGTCGATATTATTATAGTCTGGCATGTATGTCGGTAAAACGCACTGCAAGTTCAAGTGCAAGGAACTCGTAAGACGCTGTAATAAAATAAAGGTTTCGCACGGCAGGGCGCCGAAACCACAGGGCTCTAAGAGATTTATATCTACACACGCTGTATATATCACTGTGCGATACCTGATACGTGCTACAGCCGACTCAAAACAATACGCTTTAAGTTTTACCCTTTTATTTTGTGTCGCTAAGGAAGCGTCTGACTCTGGACTCGACGTTTCTCTTGTTCCCAGGAAATAATACTTTAGCTTCACACTTAACACCTACTGCTGGTTTACCTTCATTTAGTTTTGTAATGCTTTCGCGTTGACATTTAACAAACGACCTATGACACTTGCGAATGTTAAACATCTCGAAATAACATGTCGCTGCGTCTAAAAGAACAATATTTATGTTCTTCTTTTATAATGTTGGAGAATATGTTCGTCATTACGGTTCTGAGAAAGCTTGCTTTTACACTTTCTTCTGAAAACGATCGTAAAAGTTCACTTTGATGTATCATGGGTATAGCGTAACTCTAGGTGTGTTTGAAATCAATAGGTGAAAGTTGATATAAAAATAATGACGAACACAGGTATCAGAGTATCGATGCTTCACTACTGAATATGGGACAAACGTAGCTACAAAGTTGCATGGAGATTTAGAGGTGGCAGAAATCCGTGGTTGCGTGTTGAGTCTTCGAACACATAAAACATCGCAACAGTATTTTCCCAGTAGCGTAGGCAGAGATTAATAGGGACACTCACTATTCACCAGTTGTCTTTCTTTCATGTAATAGGAAACGGAGACTGAATAAACAGAAGCAGTTACAACAGACTTTTAGAATGTTAATAGCTACCAAAATTATAGGTGGCCTTTTTTGTTAGGGACCAAACAACAGTATAAATATTAGGTGGTAATAATGATAGTGTTTCAAAGAAATTTGCATGTTAATGGCAACTATTAGCCGCGTATAGAGCTAGTACCGCGTAAGGTCTCACCTCGGCGCCTGTGTTACCACATATAAGGATACACGTGTACTTTACAAACAGGTCTAATCAGCATAAACCAGCTCTTAAATGTAACGTTAATCACCCATTTAGCACCATTTTGTAAAGAATACATTCTAATTTTATACAATTAAATTAGGCGCCTATTTTCCTTTATTCTCAATGAAATACGTGTTGATTGCAATAGCTTAATGTAAGCGATAAGTAATAAAGTCCTGTTGAAATCGAAGTGGTCGTGTCAACTTGTGTACACATTAATGTACAGCTGATTCGTTCGTATGCAAAAGAGAAGTAACGCCAAGCGATAAGACTTGTTAAGGTTCCACTATCTTGAATTGAGGATGCGAATTCATTAAGGTGATTGAAGGTATATATCAAGACATATTGAATATCAATTCCACGCCAGCCTAATATTTGGCTGATAGCTTACTAAATGATGTTCGTATGCAAATCGAGCATTGTAGTCAACCAGTTTTCCACAATGTTACGAGCTGATGAACGCAGTCCTTTACTGTTTTGAAACAATCAATCGTCAATTATGACAGGTAGTGTATCTGTTACCGTGTACAGACGGACACACATAGACGCTTATGTCAACACGTATCTGGGGCGGCTGTATTTACCTCTACTAATTGCCGTAATGAGCCTTATCTGTGTGCTTAGTGCCTTACTCGCCACTCGAAGTGTTTGCCTCTGATCGACAGCCCACGGCCCAAGGCTGATAATGTCTACAGAAACTAAAAACATCAGCACTTGTCTCGTGTTGGCTTAGTGGCGCCGTGTCGACGACTGCGCGTGTGTTCCATTGAAACTTACGTTAATTCAGCATTTATTATCAAACTGTTACGTAACGCGCAGGTTGTTGACCGTAAACTGACATCAATAAAATTTATTCAACTACAATTACTGACTCATAATTTATTGTCACTTATAGTCAATAAAATAGCATATAAAGGTCGGTTACTTACAAATACAGTGAGCACCAGTGTATCCTTTCCTTTTTCTGTGGCTAATATATCGTTACATTCCACAATTGCTGCATTCTGCCCGGTATCTAAGGCCGGACCATACTGTCCGATAAATCTTGACCGTGTGCCAGTGTGAAATCTACTTTTTATGGTCGTCGTGGCCCCGTCGCCATAGTGGACAGATTCCTTGGACGATATGCGATTAAACCGCAGTTTGGATTTATGGCTATCGGCTGGAGTTTTTCAATGTTCGATTGTTATTTGAGCGTAAAATAAAACAAAATAGTACTATCCACACGAAAATAACGGGAGAAAGGAATGTTAATCACACTACTTAGTTTCATAAACAATCGAGAGTCTGTGGTCTAAGTATAGTTTGTATGTATCTAATTTATTCTTGTTTTATTTACGGAGTAGTCACATAGTTGTGAGCGCGCGCAAGAATCCGAAGCTCGCGGCGTTGAGCAAAGAGTTTGTGGTAATCGGCCTGGACCTCGTCGAATAAGGTGCGCCTTCCGGCCGAGAATCCCAATTATGTCGTTATAATCTTACAAGGGTAATACATCAGTATAAAAACAAGGAAACGCGCAAATATTTTTTTTTACTTCATTCGAATTACGCGCATTTTTAGAATAGTTTAGATCGTATCAGAACGTTAATTGTTATATTTATTGTCGTTTCATCCTTCAATATATAATTAAATTACGCATGATGTGTTCTAATAGCTGACCACAATTAGAATGATAGCCTACAAGCTATTGGACATAATCTGTAAAACAAAATGATTGAAATATAAAATGAACAATCTCTTACAAATTCATATTATGTATTCTTTCATAATATGAAGTACCTACTCAATTTATGCGACAATTGAAAGACAATGGTTGCACGCATTGCACTTGGAATGACATCTACAAATATAATTTCGTCCGGGGGCTTGGCAGAAATATTTATCATTCATTTGTTTCTGTTCAACGACTCCTCCTTTCATTACTATTCGTTATGGGAGCATTCGACCTTCATTTGTTTTCTCGTCAACGATATTTGCCTCTAATTACTGGACACCCACACATAAGTCGTGACTTGTAAACTTGTATAGGCCTCCATAGGGTTTGTGTTCAAATGGTATGAACGCAAACGGACCTCTATACAATTTCTTCAAATCGTGACGTTTTTATTTCATTCCTTGGCCTTGGTGATACGAATTTTACTTCTCGTATAGAAGGCACATGTGAAATTAATAACACCATTTGGAGGACAAGAACAGAACTTATAGGATTTTGTTTTATGACTTCATTAGCAGAAGAGACAATTTGACATAAAATAGACGACTCCAGAAAATTCTAACACCAACTTATAATACTCTTTGTTCCAGGCCATCAGTAACGTTTATAACGCCAGCGATGGTGGTGGAGCGCCACAGCGTGGAGGGGAGAACTCGGGACCATCCTCATCCAGCCGCTACTTCATGCCACTACACAGGGTCAATTAGAGGACAACCTGCCTCTACCGTCGCACTCTCAGCATGTGATGGACTTGTGAGTTCTTTTCTTTATTCAAAATTTTACCCGCGGCTTCGCTCGCGTCACAAGAGGATAAAAAGCCAATGTGACATATACCAATACACACAGCGCCATCTATACCAATACTTTTGTTTTCCCTCGGGAATATCAATTTTTCCTGGATAAAAAGTACCCTATTATTTAATCCAGACTTCTAACTTTACGTCTGCAAAAATTCAAAGCAATCGGTTTAGTAGTTACGGCGTGAAAGCGGAACAAACAAACAAACTCACTTTCCGATTTATAATATAAGTAAGGATTCAAATACCAAGACACTCTAGATTTTTGGAACTTTATCTGCCAGCGATAAATTAAACAGATCGTATATTTCTGTTGTTAATCATTACAATAATTAAATGTTGAAAATTTCAATAACTACCGATCAGCATAAGACCTTTTTCGAGATTTCTTTAAGTAGCCAATAAGTAGCCGGAATACTGAAACGTTACTCAATTTTAAGTCGTGCTCAAATATCGTGCCATCTTTGTCATTTTTCAAAGAATTTGTAGAGATAGAACTATACTTAAGCACGGTTTAAAATTGAGTAGCGGTTTAGTATTCCGACATTAAACTTACGGTTTTAAATGACAGATCAAAGAGGATCATTAAAACATTTTAGTGCCTTAAAATGGCACCTAAGTATTAAAAAAAATATTAACCCTTATCAGAATTGTCCGAAAATAAACAACAACTGCATTTAGCTGGAAGCCCCGAACAAGGTAGCAGTAAGGTATTAACTTTGTTACAAAAAAAGACCTGTAGAAAATTTTCGAATACATTTTTGATGTTCCAAAACGAGAACTGAATTCAGTCAAATGCAGCGTCAACTAGTCAAATGTCTAAACTTTTTATGTCTACCGTCGAGTCGTTAGTTTTATAGTTGGATATAAATAAATGGAATGTTAGATAAATCACGGGCCATCTCTGTGCAATGTGAGGTCGTCCAATAAAATATATTCGACACACAGCTGACTGTTACCAGGAATTTGCCAAATCAATCTCGCAAACAAATTAAACCGTAGGTAGGTCCCATACATTATAAAGGTACCCTTTGCCCGGCCATCGTACAACTTGCAGTCTTTTTGCTTGCAACGTTTAGACCTTTGATCCTTATACTTTTTATTTTGACTTCCATACGTTTCTATAGCAACAAGTCATCGAAGAATTAAAAGTTAACTCTTCTAAGATATGTCGCATACCAAGTGTCAAGTGCAAATCACGGATGTTAAAAAATAAAACTGCGTTTAAAAAACCGACTTTAACTCGTCGAGTACCGGTTTTATAGACACAATTAAAGAACAATAGGTCGCGGTCACCGGTGACCGCTTGGTGTTTGACAGTTTAAAACCTTAAAACCAAAAAATAACTGTTATTCATTGTTAATTGTAAACTGTTATTCTACCCACTGATAGTTTAGAAGTCAAAACATACCGGCCGAATTGAGGACCTCCTCCTTTTTGGATAGTCGGTTAAAAATAGAGCACCTATTGGCTATAGTTCATATATCTGCCCATTTTATTATCAAAGCATTTGTGGTACTCCATTGATACCTACTCTCTCTAATAATCAGGTTATTGGGTAGCAGGTAACAGAGACATGCGAATCTATTAAATGATAGGAAAACTGTGCTAACAAGATAGACACCAGATGCCAAAGGTCGTTGACCGATAAGTGGTTTTTATTTTAATGTATTAATTTCCAATAGTTTTTTAGATGATTAGTAACTACGTTCATTAAAAACGCGAGTTCATAGATACCATAATATAAAGATACATAATTTAATTCACAGATACAGATTTTATCAAATAAAAAATCGATTAAATTCACATAAAATGTCTTCTAGTCTAGTCTAACTTTAAAAAAGAACTACATTTAATTGATGTCAAAATTATGTAGAGGTATAAATAATAATATAGATAGTTTAACATATTTATAGGTGTAATAAAAGTGTTATCAAGACTATTCTTAAAACAAATCTAGATTTTAAATGTCTATTTAAGAAAAGTTGTAACTAATAGGTGGCTATTTGTAACGACCTTCACATATTGTCGGGAACATTAGATAGTCTTTGTTAACAATGATCTATGCTCAATGCTTATATAAGAGCATTTTGTTACAATGTATGAATATGCATTAAACTCTATATGCGTTTGACCTCTAGTTGGTTCTGGAGGGCAGGTGTTTAACATACATAGGCATACAATATCATGCTTAATAGGGATGATGAAATGTTATGGATGGTATGAAAATTAAAAATCTAAATAGTCCGTCAGTTGTTAGACAATGAAAAGATTTTGTCATGTACTTTTTTAATTTTGTATAAAAATCAATACTTAGATAAAACAAATCAAAGTTCAGGATTGGGAGCTAGCTACGTCATTTTTGAGTATGAAACGTCCACAAAAGTGACGTCACGCAATATTTTAAATCTGTATATTGTCGAAAGTATTTGTTTTCGTAAGAAAATAAAAAATACGTGTCTAATATTTTTAAATAATCTACCAGACGGACATTGAAATAAAAATTAGTCATGTCACCATGTCATCACCCTATTGATATCCCTTGAAAGGATAGAATTGTGTGTAAGTACCGTATATTAACACACGACTTTTCTCAGAACAACTACCTTTATTTTTTACACTTTCAGCTAGTCATATTTAGTCCTTTTAAAAGGCCGATAAGCACTTGTAAGTCCTATGGTATTGTGGTCCATGGGTGATGCTGATCGCTTACCATCAGGTGATACTTCTACTCGTTTGTTCCCCAATTCTATAGAAAAACTCTTTATAATAGGGAGCGAATCTATCACTAATGTATTGGGAAAAAATGGAAAAAATTAATAAGTCTTAATTTTGAAAAAATACCAGAAAAGCTTTCAGTTATATTCATAAACATTCAATACTTACATAGGTGCTGATTTCCCACGACCTTTTTTGAGATTAGATTCACATTATAACAACGATTTATGTACCTATATATGGTTATATGTAGGTATTGGTTACTACAAACACTAAAACGATAAGCTGTTGTGGCTATGAAATGCTAATGAGTAGATATAAAAGCCAAATGTAATGAAAAACGAAGAGTCAAGAAATTTACAACCTTTTACAGAAGAAAGTTATTTACCCACAAATAATGCGATTTTACTAGCATTAAGATATTGAATTTATATCTAAGTAAACTTTCCTAAGGCTTGTTATAAAGTAATGCGATATCATATACATACTTTCGTAAGACATCTGATGGAAAGTGAAATTATGATTTAGTGGGGGCCGGTCCAGAGTTCCAAGTTTCGATAACTAGTGTTTCATTAATTACTTTTCAACGATTACCTGTTTATTGACATGTATCGAGCATAAATTTGCAATAAAGTATGCTCTATTGATTGGTCCGTTTATGTCTTTATATGTATGTTGTATGTAAATCTGTCCAATTTTATCTAGCCTTGTATTACTAGCATACCTTTTAATTCGTAATCATTACGCTAGTAATTGAACTGATTAAACTGGTTTGGAATAGAAGTTAAATATAAATTGTAGTTTTAATTATAAGTGGCGTGATATTTTATTGAACATAATATATTAACGCGCCTTTTACTCGTCGAATGAGTAAAAAAGATGCATGTCGTATAAAGTGTAACACGTACCTTTCATCTGTTATAGTATGAGTCCCATGTAAAAGACAAGCCTATAGCCTATATTATAATATAGGCTATAGGCTTGGCTTTATTCCTTAATAAATTAAGGAATAAATAATACATATCTTAATGTGAATTTCCTAGCAATCTAGATAAAATCTTGTTTATTTTATCATGCATTATACATACACATTTAAGATGAAAGAAGTTGGAAGGTGAACATTTAAAACGCTATAAAATTGAAACATTAAAATGGTCGGTTGATGACACCTAGTATTATTAGCTAGGAGGGTCATCGACAGTCGTGTAGACGGCTTGTTTCTGATGCCGCAGGCGACAAGGCACCAGTTCGGGCAGGTGGGCCCGTCACAACTCATCGTCAACTAAACGCTTGACAAATAGCGGCAAGATTTGAATAAATAAAGGCCCTAATAACACCTCTTATTATATGTCCAAACAATTTATTAGTATTATTAATAGTTATATTTCCTCGTCGACTTAGACTAGAGAGGAAAAGTTTTGTATGTGTAAAGGTATAATTCTGAAATGTTAATTATCAGCAGCGTTAATATTCAGTTTTTTTCATTCATATGGTAACACAGTAACTGGGGTTTTCCTTCTTCTTCTATAATATCTTCTGATTTATTTCGTTGCGGGAACCAAGACAGTTATTCATGTTCCTGGGACGCGCCGGGCTTCAGTGTTCCGGTGTTTTCATGGTTATATCTACTGTAGATCCTGGCTTACAGGAGTTGTAGCGTTCAGGAAGGACGTGGCGGGCTTGCCCCTTTAAAAAAAAGTAAGTGGGTTTAATAAAAAGTCATGAGACCAGACATTCGCGATTAACATCCTTGAACACTTGTTTTTGAGAAAACCAAAACGATTGCATTTAGGAATTTCCGTACAAACAAGTCTAGCAAGACTATTAAGTTAGTAACAGTAGATATTTAAACAATAGGTAATAATTAAATTATTGCCACAAAAACATTTTGTACCTACAATCGTAAAAACTATTTATTTTATTCATAAGTCGAATAAAATGCTTCAAGAGATTCAACCTTGGTTTTTATTTTGCAAAAAATTACCATAAATTATACAAGTTATTGAAAATTTCAACTACCGAATGAAAGTGGGCGGTACTTTTGGTTCGAAGACATTTAATATATTTGTTTTGACATTGTAATTAGTGTTAATTAGACAAATAGTGTATTGTATGATAGATCGGTTCTTGTTTTAAGTGATAACAGTTTTTAACTTGTTAACATTGACGTTATATTACTAAATTTATTGATGGGGATTTCTTAAATTAAGGAAAAATAGTTAATATCTATCTTTCAAG